TAGGGCTTAGTAATCAATTAGTACGAGTACCTAGTATTCATATATTATTGAAAACTAACTAACTAAACTGGGTTTTTAAATTACCATCACCTGCATTACCTTTTGAATATTCTGTTAATATTCCTATGTCTTATTCCCAAATTACGCGTAGGACGATACTATCACGTGACGTGCTAAAATATTAATTAAAAAAATAATCTGGCAAATTAATTAATGTAGTTGTAAGGAGATGAAATATCAGCCTAAACGTGTTGTGACATGGACGGGAGGAACTCCTACGGCCAGTAATTATTTATTTATTTTATAGACTAGAATACATCTATTTAATAACTTCACGTATTCCACTTCCTACTACTATTGTAAATTGAAGAGTTTGGAGTGTCCAATACTCCGTCACGCCAGAAATAGATTATTGTCTGAAATGCCACAGAGGCTACTGAAAGCCTTAGAAAACTTAGTTAACAAAAATGATATTAACCAGAGCAAGACGCTTCCAAAAGCTATTTCTTCTTCTATATCTTCACCTTTTTCGTTTTGGCTTACTATACCACACTAGCCAGACGCATGCCTGGGGGTGGTAGGTAAGGCCATCTGTCACCCTAGCAGATGGAGGCTGGGGTGGTGGCGAGACGCGCTGCGGAGCACAAAGTGGACATAGACGTTCCCACACAGAAGGGGGTCATTTACACACCGTAGATGGCCCGAGGTACGTCGGGGTATCAGGGATTTCCTTCCTAGAGTATACCTGGTTCCCCGGCAACTGGTACTCGAGATGGCGTGCGGTTTTTGGTCGGTTCGAGTCCGACATAACCACCGGTGGGCGGGTGGGTGATTTTATCCGAGGGAATTTCCGCACAGGAAAAAAAATTGTAACGCCAAAATTATCTATTGGACTATCTCAAGTACTTTCGGTTTCGACTAAAACCAAATACGAATTGAAAGCAGTTGCTATGATAGTATTTTTGGTATCACAATTTCAATCAATATTCAATCCATTTAAGACGAATGGGATTAACGCCGCAGGCCGTGGTACCAAACATGGTAACATGATATAGAGGAGAGGAAATTGTTTGTCCGCTCATTGACTTGTGGTGTTTTATAGTGTCTTAGAATATGAGTAGTAAATTAAAGAAAGTTCAAGCTATCAAAGGCAGCGTTAGTGGACCTATATTGACACTTGCAAATATTGATTTATTAACCAACTTCAAAAAAAGGAGGAGGTTCTCAATTCGACTGTATTTTTTTTGGCTGACTCTGACACGGTTGACACCGACTCCAAAAGTAACAATAATTATAACTACATTATATTATCGTAATAATTTCATTGACTTTTAAGTAGTCTAATATTTTTCATTTCATTTTACTTAGAACTCAAAAAAATATTTTGATCGTTGTTTGTTATTCAATATATAGGTACCTAACTTATATATTGCGTTAGATTTGAAGTGGGTAGGTACCTACCTTCTTGCGTGGTAAACACATAGATCGTACACCTACATATTTATGAGTAGAAAAAGTAAGTTGATTATTAAGTTGTAGAAGAATATGCATTTATGTTTTTACTTTTTAGTGCATATCAGTTTATTTTGGAAAAGTCTTTTTTGAAGTCGATTTTTTTTTGTTAAAATTTTAGTTTATTTTGACAATTAATTCTTATGTGAACACTATGATTTGTTGCGATAAAAGTTTTCTTATTTACTTTTCTATAATCTACACTATAATATCCGTGTGTTGACGGATTAAGAATACGGAGTGTTACTACACTTATTCATCCTGTAGGTGTCGTAAAAACTGACTAATGGAGACAACTACGTAGGACAACAGCACTGCAAGGAGAAAAAAAACAAACTATATCAACTCGTGGTATAGTAGACCAAAATCGCCTTTCTAAGTAGAGGCCTATGTCCAGCAGTGGGCCAGCATTGATAATGATAGTATATATACACCTACTCATACTTATATCCCCTTAGTCGGCTCACACCCACGGGATGAACAGGGATGGAGACTTAGAGACATTCCGAATGTGTATATGTACTAATTATACATTAATTTTTTCATTGTAATGTTATGACAGTGAGCGCCTTAGATCTTGTCAAACCACGTGACAATACAGGACATTTTAATATAGTAAGTAGGTACCTATAGTAGGTAGGTAGGTAAATTATACAAGGGAATATAATTCATTACACTTGACGAGTGATAGGTGATAGACGTGTGAAATGTTTGATACACCTTCTGATTCTTATCTAAATATAATTTATTAAACTATTTTGTTACCACATGCTGGCTATAATTAATTGTTAGTCTGATGTAACTGATTTTAAAAAGTGTGGGAAATAGCGCAGTAATCGTGCAGATAATATTTATTAGGTGGTTTCTATGATTTCTAGGGTATACCTGGTTCCCCGGCTATTAGTACCCGAGACGGCGTGCGGTTTTAGTCGGTTCGAGTCCGACATTCGACATAGGTGGTATCCGAGGGGATTTCCGCACAAAAAAAAAGGTGGTTTCTATGAGAATTGATTTTTTACTGATGTTGACTGAAGACACATTCGCCCTGTTCACACTATTGCTAACATTCATAAGTAAAACCGTATCGATATCTACATATAGAAAAATGCTAAGTTATTTGAAAGTTAGCTAAGTTAAATGTTAGGTAAGTTTTTTAAAAATGCTAAGCTCAATATATTTATAAGTTTTAATTTTAAGGAACCTTTGTGGAAGAGAAATAAACTTTATTAGTATAATTGTTTGTTTACGCTACAAAAACTGAAAATGTTCTGTATCGATTGAGCTCAAATTTTGACACGATATATACAAACCTTTTCAAAGATGGTTTTTATGTAGTTTTCACATCAGTTTTCTGTCTTATTTCTCATTAATGCCACCACAATGTGTCACAGCGAAGCGTGGAGGGGTACAGCTAGCAATTAATATATCTTCCCTATTTCTTACCTATTCTTCTCCAGCAGTGGACTATTAAAGGCTGTTGTTGATGATGACTATTCATCTTTTTCATCATACTTCCAACTTTCTCATTTAATTCCTAAAATACCCCGTTAACGGTAATAGGTTAACCCCCTATTACGTACCTGGCACTAAAATTATAGTCGATAAGGCCTTTGATACGCCTCTGTGTATAATCTACCAGCTTTTGGCCCCAACTCCACCCGCGTGTATTTCGGTAAATAGGTTCAACGGTTATTGATTCCTCATAAAACCATCCACCCACCTTTTCACCCCTTAAAAGGATGATATTTGGGATTAAAACTACCATATGTCCTTTCCCGGGACTATCTCTATAACAAACTTTATTTAAATCGATTCAGGATCGATTCAGTTTAAGAGTGAAGAGGTAACAGACAGATAGACAGAAACGCTTTCGTATTTATAATATTAGTGTAGATAATATACATATAGACTTAGTGAAATGTCTTCTTTACTTTGAGTGATCACTAAAGCGAAAAGAAATTTACCCATCTGGTCATATGGCAGAAGGATGGTGTACATCTTTGGTCATAGATGAAGAAGAAAATGGAGAGTAACTCGCTATTAAAGCGTATTGTGACTAATAATAATTTTTCTAGAGCCATTTAGAATTTCAATTGTATTAAATATTTGCCGGGGTAAATCTTCTCATTAGTTGAGCACAGAATTTAAGTGAACCATACAGTATGTTAGTAAGTCTAATAAAATATAATCTATACTGGAATTATAAAGCTAAAGTGTTTGTTTGGTTGAACGCGATAATCTCAGGAATGACTGGTTTGAATTGAAATACTCCTAGTGTTATTTATATTATTACTAATTATTTATACTCGAATTATAGTTATTAATGTTACTTATACTTACTTTTTTGTCTATGAATCACAAATTATACAAAACTCGAAGCTGATATTCAGACTTTGGTTTAAAAGAACGTTTGCATAGGTAAAACCAAACCAAATGACTTTTTCACCGTAAACACACTTAGAACTTATGCAAAAAAGCTTGGAAAGTGGGGTAAATTCAATACAAATCCACATCGCAGATATCTAATGTAGTTAATAATAAAAAAAAAATTGCACTCACCATACTGTACGATATATCCTAACTTACTGTGCGTGTTATTTTTACATCTCATATTTATAATCTGTGGAGGGACATCGCTATTGTTGTGGGTGAAAAGCGCGCAATTTTCCGCGCATGCGCTCATTGTTGCCCGCACGCAGAACGCGCGCTTTAATTATTTCCATGTCGTCTGCGCAACTTTTGACGTAACTCGTGATCTTAAATGATGTGGACTCTTCTTTTTAAACAGAGTATACTAGATTATGTAAGAAACACCAATTATGGGTATGAATAGACAATAAGTTGACAGTACGTCTACTTGGCTCTGACTGACCTTTGCTAGGTATTTTGTGAGTAAATAGTTTATCTCCAGTGTTCTTTTTAGTCATGATCAATACTTAATATACGGTATTATATATTAGTTAGGTTAACTGACTGTCAGATTTTGTCTGGTTAAAAGAAAAAAACCATTATATAATAAAAATGTATTGTCTTTAAAACAAGTAAAAATAATATACTCTTAAAATTCATTCGCACTGCTACTATTTACAAAACTTTCCATTCCAGTCTTTCATAAATTAGCATCTTTTAAAAGCCTACTTAAAAACTAAGATTGGTTTAAAAACATTACTAATATTATAAAAGAAAATTCCTTTCTCCCTGATTTACCATTGTTTTTAAAACTACTGTGCATTTTGTCCAACTAAATTAAGGCAGGGGCCAAATTAAGGCAGAAATCAAGTTAAATAGTTTACAAGAGAGTGTACAGAATAAATTATTTTTTTTTATTCTATTTATAGAAATAAATAATCGATCGTTGGCCTCTTCGTTGCCGGCTGTGAGACAGGGGCTTCTTAAGGTTTTGTCTATCCAAGAGGGGGCTAATAAAAATTAATATTTACGTTAGAAAACGTAAAACGCTCTTCCTAGCCCCCCACCGGTCTTGTGCCTTAGATGTAATAATATTTCGTTTTCGCGTTCCCAAGTACATGTCTCTCGGCCCAGTAGTTCTCCAGCACGAGCTCCTGGCGACGTCCATTTACTATGACGGCGGAGTATAACAGCAAATCTGGAAATAATATAAAACCCAGATCAGTGAAGGTACCGAGAATGGAAGGTTCAATAGTCTTTTTGTGTCAGGAGTCATATGAGTGGTTACTTTTTAATTTCTGGTGATGTGTAGGTGATCACCGGGAAAGGTTGTTTCGGAGATCACCTGTGTCTGATCCGCAAGGAGCCAACGCCTGAGTACCACTACAGCGACTGTACCCGAGACGGCGTGCAGTTTTTAGTCGGTTCAATTCCGACATAACCATCGGTGGGTGGTATCCGAGGGGATTTCCGCACAGAAAAAAAATGGTAGGTACAGGGGTATTCTGTCCATCAAGGTCTGTAAGAGTATTGATTTCCAGAAAAGAACAGCACAGAACATAAACAGCAGAGCATATACTTGCACTACATTCATTTTTCAGCTGAAAGTTTTTTCTTCTGTAAAGTAGGGTTCAGTGCAAGTTGAAGTTCTACCGTGGTTTTGCAATACTTAGACACCATATGGGCTGGTGTTAAGTAATTCTTAGGTTGGTTTTCACTCAGTGACTGAGGTTACTTTATCAGTGTATTATTTTTTGACAATAAGTAATCTATGTGCTATTCCAGACTATAAATGTCTAAATGCTAACTTTAATTAAGATCTGTTCCGTCGTTCTGGCATCATGCGAAAAACATCCATACAACAATCTTCAAAAAAAATCACGATTTGTTTGGGAAATTTGCTGTTCTTTATATAACGTTCTTGGAGGGTACAGTTGTACCCGGCTATCTCTTAACTTTAGTATGTGATTCTCGACTCTTAGTAGACATCTCTCACACGATTTAATGATGTTGTATATAAACAGAGAAATGATCTTTGATTCAAGCATGCAATGGTGAGCGTTTTCGAGACATCATCCCTTGCGGGCAGGAGTGGCCCAGATGTCTTAATAACAGCAGTTCCCGGATTCCTCTTATTACAGGCTCAGAGTGGCCCACCGTGTAGTTTTATTCGGTCCGATTCCGACATACAACCCCGCAGCAAACCCCGGTGGGATGATGGCCCGAGGGGGTTTCCACACGTAAAAATAAATAAAAAAGTGACGAGACATCATAATGACATATTATGTTTTTTGTACACGGTTGGCGCCCACGGTGAAAGGACTGGATTCTTTTTGTTTTATATTATATTTATATACGAGTAACTAAAGCATTTTTGTGCATCGGCTGACTTAATGCCCATGGCTTTCTCCTCCAGTCAACCTTTGGGGTATGTAGAAATCTTGTAAGGTAGGCACAGAGATTATCAATGAAAATATATGATTTTAAATCAATTAATACATACGCAGTTCACTACATACATATACTTTTATATATACGTGTACGTACATTATACTTTCTACTTCTCCGACTGTTGACACAACACACTTTGTGTGATCCACAAATTATTGTTCTGAGTGTGGGTGTTCTTTATGTACGTTCCATGTATGTTTATAAAGACAATCGCTTCACAGGATATATTTATAGTGCGGGAGTTGTCTTTTAAAACTAATTAAAGTAACATTGTAGGGATCAGGGTTTTCCTTTCTAAGGTACACCTGGTTCCCCGGCAACTAGTACCCGAGACGGTGTGCGGTTTTTGGTCGGTCCGAGTCCGACATAACCACCGGTAGGTGGTATCCGAGGGGATTTCCGATAAGTGTAAGTACTACTACACAGGTCGAATTGTAATAATCATGTGTGAATCTAGAGCGTTCTTATATTATTCAAGAAAACCTTTTAAGACCGTTTGATGAGCACCTGATTTTTTCTATATATTTATGTTTCTATGTCAATGACAGTAAAAGGAATTTACTTATTTTTCAATGCTTGTTTTTACTTACTTGAATAAATAAAGTACGCAGCTATGACAGGGCCATTCTCCGCAGTGAGCTGGAGGCTGGCGTTCATGGCAAGTGCCACCGCCCCAGCGATGCTGAGGAAAATGAGGACGATTCCTTTCCACCAGGCCAGGACTATCCACGGCCACATCCATTGCGGTTTTCTCTGAAACAAGAAGAACAATACTTTTGGGTGGTGTTTTGTTAGTAAAAGTTGTACCTATATATTTTTAGTAGGCTTTGAATTTGACGTATTTATTTTAATTGATTCAAATATTATTTGTTACCTGTAAAACCTTGTTTAATAGAACTCTGAAAATAACGTTTAGTGGTAGGTAAAAATGGTAAGAAAATTGTGTTTTTCGAAAATCGAGGGGGTGGTTCTCAATTCGATTGTATTTTTATTATGTTATTTACCGATACGGATTTTATTTTATAACTTGGAAGGGTATACTTTCTGTCCGTCTGTATACAAAGGTAGTTAATTATCCACCCTTATCAGCGTTATTTTTTCTTCAAACAGAAATGGGACCATTTTTTGAGAGTTTAGTAAAGTGGACAAATTAAAAAAAAAAATGTCCACACCTTTAACACTTTATATTTTTTTCACATCTTTACATTTGTGAAACTTTCAATTTTAGGTTTTTTTATCTAGGCAAATTGAATGTATCGATGATTTTTTTGCGGTCAATTTTCAAATTTCTAAAATATTGTAATAATGTTGGCTTACCAAAACGGATTTCTCAACATCCCATTCATACTTACAGACTTATCTTTCTTAGTAAATGATAAACGATATTTATTTCTGTGTAATCTTTTCAGATATTTTTACAAGTCAGACTTGTAATAATTTTAGTTTACCTTAAAAGCTCCACGTATCAACAACCCCCCTATCCCTATCTCCACGATGGCCAGCACAGCAAGACATACGTAGAAGTAGAGTCTGGCTGGGGGGAGCGTGTCGTTCAGCGCTGCCATTGGACCGTACACCACGAGGATGCATGCTGATGATATCTGTTGAGCAAACAATTCAGTGTTTGAATCATTTTTATTTTAAATTAGTTGACCCGTCTGCGTCTCTCGCTCTTGGCTGCTATTGGTCAATGGCTAAACACTAACGCTATTAAATGAAAGGCAATAAAAAATGAAAAAGGAAATTAAAATATGTATGTATGTACGTGTTATTCTTCGTGTGGTAATGGATTAAAAATACAGAGTGTCACCACCCCTATTCATCCCGTGGGTGTCGTAAGAGCCGACTGAGGGAGAAAACTACGCAGAACAACAGCACTGCAGAGGGAAAACCTCATTTCTAAGAGGAGGCCTATGTCCAGCAGTGGACTATTAAAGGCTGTTGATGTGATGATGTATTTTACATTATTAAAGAACTGCTGAAGCTGAAATTTAAATGTTAAATTTAATTAGTTATACAAATAAAGTGTATTGGGTAACTGTTTGTTTTTTTTCTTTTTCTTATAGTATTTGGACAAACGAGCAGCTAGATCAACTCCGAAATACCTACATACGTGAAACGGCGGTCCAGGGATACCTGCAACTCAAGTGGGTTGCCGTCCTTCGAGTGCTTCCCCTCCATGCCCCGAATTAGAACGAGGGGGATTTTGGCTCCTAACTCACTCGGTGAAGAGCAAGGAAAGAATTGTTTAACACCGGTCTTCTCCCAGACTGTGCTATAATTTCCTTCGAGCCAACCCATATGTGTAGCAGCATGCAAGCAACACTTCAAAACTTTTTTATCTTGAATGTGTGACCAAAGTGATTCATTACATATCATAAATATTAGGATAAAAATTAAGGTTGAAATCACCAAGGTAATAGTACGTAAATGTGTACAGATCAGGTTCCTTATTTACACAGTATGTTAGTGTAAATTTACTTGGAACTGGTGAGTAATAAGTATATCTGAGTAATATTTCTATTAACACGGCTGTCGTGTCCCAAACTAGGCAGAGACTGTACTGACTGTTTGACTAGTAACCAGACTGCTAATTTAACATACTTATTATAGAAAAATTACCACCCACAAATACAGACAGGTTTCAAATGAGAGAGAGAGAGTGAGAGAGAGAGAGAGAGAGAGAGAGAGAGAGAGAGGGGGAGAGAGAGAGACGCACACACAAATACACATTCAACATGCACTCAGTGCACGTACCTATATGTAGTACACACTCAGTACACATTCCGTATACAACGGGTTTACTAAATAGTTATCCTAATTATCCTTATCCATACTTAATATTTAAGTTCGCAAATATTTAGCTAATGTAAGTAGGTCTACTTTTTTATTGTAACCAGTACTGTTTTATTTATTTTAGCTGTGAAACTGGAAGGTAGCTGGTACTTATAGCACAGGATATCCTATTTTAAGTACCAGCAGAACACTAGAATTAAGATTTTTTGTACCTCTATTGAGAATTCTACTACTATGTACCTACTTGTATATTGTGCCAATAAAGAAATTTATTATTATTAAATATTTGGTTACAACCATTGTCTGCCTAATGACTCCTAATGACTGACAAAATAAGAAAAGGTCTATTGAGTTTTATTTTTATACTAGCTGAGACCCGCGGTGTTACCTGCGTTTGTTGTTATAACCGCGGGTAACGCCGCGGGGCGAAGCTAGTCTAAAAAAAGTAGCCTAAGTTACTCCTTATGTCTTCAGCTATCTGCCAGTGAAAGTCCCGTCGAAATCGGTCCAACCGTTCCAGAGATTACTTGGAACAAACAGACAGACAGACAGACAGACAAAAATTGTAAAAAATGCTATTTTGGCATATGTACCGTGTAAACATACATATGCATTTAGTAAAAGCGGTTATTTTAATATTACAAACAGACACTCCAATTTTATTTATTTGTATAGATATAGATATTCAAAATAATCTTGTTCAAATTATTGTAATAGTAAACAATTTATAAGAAAGATATCTTTAATCATACAAAGATACACAGCCAATCACGCTTGTACTACGTATGCGATTAGGCAGAGACATATCATCATCATCAACAGCCTTTAATAGTCCACTGCTGGACATTAGCCTCTCCTTAGAAAGGAGTTATATAAAATCTAAATTTTGACTACTATAATGAGTTCCTATTTACGTAATAGAATACGGGAATATTAGTACTATATCCTAAGGGAAAGATGGGTAAGACGGGAAAACGAGAAGATCAAGCTCTCTTGAATTTCCTTTCGTTTTAAAAGGTTGAGCCTTATAAGAAGAAACTGAGCAAAGAAACGCACGGTATCTAACATAACATGTTTCTTTGTAATAAAATCAATTTCTTATCGATATTAAAGCGAATTCTGATTATCTCTAAATATTCTTTCGTAACTGAATCGTATTGATAACAGAATTCTTACTACATATGATGTTATTGTTGACCTATTTAATAAAATATCTATTACATATGTTTTGTGAAAACGCATTTTTATTGTCATTACGTGTACAATCTTAATATATTTATAATAATTCTGTGTGTTTATTTTCCTTTCTTTTAAAAAGACAACTCCCGCGGAATATATCCTGTGTCACTGGGGTCTTTACAAACATACATGAAACGAACACTCAGAATAACAATTTGTGGATCACATAAAGTGTCGTCCCATTTGGGGTCGAAACCCACAACACTCGGCGTAGTAGGGAGCGGCGTGACGAACGCTTAAACCACTACGCCATCCGTTCAGTCAAAAAAACCTAACCTAACTCCTCCTAAACGGCTAGACCTTTGAAATTTTGTGTGTATATTTCAATGGCTTCCTGGATAGCTTGAAAACACAATTGGACGCGGTAGGTGGCGTTGTTGTCAGTATGTCACCAAATTTGTCACCTAATTTATTATTCCTAAGGCGGTACGAAGTATCAGGTCAGCTAATATCTATATAAAAATAAAATCTAATATAAGGTACGCTTCATTCGCTTATAATGACATTATTCATTTGTACATGGCCCAAAAGAAAGCAAAGATACACAGTATATTTCAACACAAACAAAAAAATTAACCGTGTTAGAGCCTTGCTTCAGTACCACTGGGCCGGCTCGACCGGAGGGCTACCACGGCCTCACAGAAAAGGCGTTAACGGTTAACGGATACCAAAAAGAAAATCCTTCTTAAAAAAGTTGAACCAACTTCAAACAATACTAACAAAGAGCACTAAAAACCTAGAGTTCCATTGCCTGCCTCCGAAACTCATCATCAGATCTATATGAAATTGAAATGGGATCATTTAGGAATAAACCCGTTTCGAACAAAAAAGAATTTTGAAAATCCATCTATATACTATAAAAACAACATTAGAATTAATAATCTCCTCCTTTTTGAAGTCGATTAAAAAGCTATAAACTTAAGTTTTTTTAATATAAAAAACACACTTTTAAGTAACGGTAACAATCCGAAATTCGAAATTTAGCGTAGTTTAAAGAAGCTGTCTATAAGTTTTTTTAACCTGTATGTATGCAGGGGAATCTCGGAAAAGCAAAAATAAATTAAACACGCTTTTGTACGAGTAACTAGACGAACTAAAAAGAAGAAAATAATTTTCCGTAACTTCAAAAAGAAAATTTGTTTAATCGAAAAAAACGTGGGGACACAAACCCTTTTTTTTTTTTTTTTTTTAACTTGTGGAAATCCCCTCGGACCGTCACCCCTCCGGGGTTTACGGCGGGGTGGTGTGTCGGACTCGGACCGACTAAAACCACACGGTGTGCCACTCTGCGCCTGTAACAGGAGGGATCCGGGAACAGCTGTTGTTAAGACATCCGGACCCCTCCTAGCGCCAGCCCGCTCCTGGTGCGGGCTCCGTCTCGATGTTGTTCCTCTCTTTAGGCGACGTACGGCACACGCGGACGCCGCCCCCTCGCGGCTGGCCAAACTAATGCGGGTGGAGGGGAAACCCACCCCGTCCCCTCGCGGCCACACTCAGGGCGGCATGAGGCTGTGGTAGGCGGGCCTCCGCCGCCCGGTTCGCCGGCGGCGGATCGGGTCCGAGTGGAGGTCGTCCTCCCGGGCCCTCTCCGCCGCCTCCTTCCGCGAGATTACTACCTCGCAGAAGGTTGCGACCGCGGTAAAACAACTGTCGCTACCGGCCATGGAGCGTACTACGGCCGGTAGCGAGAGATCCACTCCGATGACTGCAGTGAGGGCCCGGCGCTGCGCCGCCCATGCGGGGCAGACCGCCAGCGTGTGCTGGGCCGAGTCCTCACTGCAGTCGCAGTGGTGGCAGGCGGGACTCAGTTCCCTCCTAGCGACCGTGTGCAGGTACTTTCCGAAGCAACCGTGCCCGGAAAGCACCTGCGTCAGCCGGAAGGAAAGGGTCCCATGCTGCCGCCCTGCCCACTCGGCGATGACCGGCTGGAGAGCCTCCACGGCGGCGAAGCCAGCGCGTGGAGTCTCCAGCCGGAACGACCAACGAGCCATCGTGGCTCGGCGAGCGGCTTCGCGCCACTCGCGCACATCCTCGGGCGGAGGGCGAAAAACGCTCTCCGCCCGGTAGTCAGCCACTCGCCGATAAACTTCGGCGAGCACTTCCGCCTCCAAATCCCACGGGGGAGTTCCGGCCAACGCGCAAGCCACCTCCGTCGAAACGGTGCGGTAACCGCGTATGGCTCTGACCGCCATTACCCTCTGAGGGCGCCAGAGGCGTACCCTATTCTGGGCGGTCAGAGCCGCCGCCCACACCGGTGCACCGTACAGTGCCATTGACCGGACAACCCCCGTGTACAGCCGTCTTGTCGCGACGCTGGGTCCACCCATATTGGGCAAAAGTCGCTCCAGGGCAGACGCAGCGCCGACCAGCTTTGGAGCAAGCTGTCGAAAGTGCTCGTCGAAGAGCCACCTCCCGTCGAGGATCAGGCCCAGATATTTCATCTGGGCCCGAACCGGTACGAGGACCGAGTTGACCACTATTGAGGCGCCAGGGGGTGGACCACGACGGGGCCCATGAAATAACAGGGCCTCCGTCTTATCTAGGGCCACCCGTAAGCCCAGCGCCT